CCCAGGGTGCTACAGGCTCTGAGGAGAGGCGGGCAGGAGGGAGCCTTTCTCCGGCTCCTGTTTCTATCACCGGTCCCAGACGGGTCTTCCAGCACTTCCCAGAGCACCACAGGCGGGACTCCACCAGACAGTGGCCTGGAGGGGGGAGGTGAGGCCAGCAGAAGCTGGACTGGTCCCAGGCTTGAGCCTGGTCAGAGGGGGCGGGGAGGGGCTGAGTAAGCAGTGAGACGCTGGAATTCTGACTCAGGGGCCAACGTGGAGATCTCCACCTCTACCCCCACCGGGGCGAGCCCTCACCCCTGCCCTCACTTTGTGGAGAAGAAATGGGTCTCCACAAAGCGGGCCGATTTAAGCTTCATAATCACTTCGCCCCAGAAAAAAAGAAAAAGTATTTATTATTCTTAGCATTTTACGCATTATTTGCAAAATGGAGTGGATTGGAGAGTTCAATCCAGCCCAGCAAGAGGCAGGCCTGAGCCGGGGAGACTCTCTCAAAACTTGCCGAGTCCGGAAACAGATACGCGAAGTTTCCTTATCTTTGGGCTGCAGATGTCCGGATAGGAAACTCCGGCAGGAGATCCGAAAGGGCATTTTTAAAAAAAAATCACTCAAATGAAAATACACAGTATAGGTGACTCCATGGAAAAATAATAAAGGGCAGGTTTTTTTGGGTGGCTGGTGTGAGTGTGTTTGAATAAGCACGAGGAGACTGTGTGTGTTGGAAAGGCCGGCAGCACTGCTCCGAACGACGAAGGAAAATTACTTCATGGCCCTATTTTTAAAAAGAGTTAAACGCCGGCCAGAGCACGGGAGTCCAGTCGGGCCAGGGCCCTGGGACATTCAACTTTGGGCCCCTGGATATGCAATCTAATTGGGAGGACCTGAAAGACTGGCGGTCCTGTGATTACAATCCCTTCAGGTCCCCAGGGCAGCCCGGGTAGCCTACCCAAGTGATTTTCATGACAAAAGGGAATTTCAATGGCAACACATCTGCCTGGGAAGGGTTTTCATCTTTTAAATGGTTATTTTCTTGAACAGCCTCAGCCGGCTCTGGTCAGAACATCACCAGTCCTCCAGTTACTTGTCAGCCCCGGGACATGCCGCCTCCCCAAAGCGACCCGGCTGGCCTGTGCCCGCTGCCTACCAGTCTCCGCTTGGGTTTGATGAGTGGCCGGTTCTGTCCGTTCATCTTGTGGTAGAGCCCGCAAGCGTTGCACAGGTAGTGACCGGTGCCATCTCGTCTCCAGAGAGGGGTGGCTGTGGCCCCGCAGTTGACACACTCCCGACCTTCTGGGGGAAAACGGGGGGCCAGCACAGAGCTCAGTGTCATGGGGAGGGAGCAGGGACCGACAAGCAGAGGCCGAACTGAGACTGGTGCTGGGTCTGCCTCTGCTGGGAGGGTCTAGCAGGAAATGCTTGAAGTACCAACCCGAGCAGGAAAAACCAGAGGGTCCCCTCCACAGGAAGGGCATGCAGTTTAAGGTCAAGTCTCCCTCTTTAAAATCCTTGGGAGTGAGAAGGAAGGGAAATGAGGAGACGGGGGAGAAAAGTGGGGCTAGGGCCCCAGGGATGTCCAGAGAGGCCAGCAAAGGGTATTTACAGCAAACTTTGCTTTGGACGGCAGCAAAGTCATCGGCTTGCCCGCTAGACTGACTGCACAGGGAGGCTGCCTTGCTGTCCCCACTCCCACTTGCTGGTGCCATGGTCCTGGCTTGCTCCCCAAAGGTCGCTGCCACCCAGAATCTCTGCTTCTGTCTCGTGGTCTGCTCCCTCACCCTAGCCTGTCTGTCTACTTTCAGTAGAAGGGTAACTCCCTTCTTTCTCCCCTTCTGTCCAAGCCCTAGGGTTCAATTCTGGACTGGCATCTACGTTGTTGTTCTGTAAAATAAAATAAGCAATAAGCCCTTTCCTTTTTCCACTAAGTGGTCTTGATTTTTGAGTGAAGGATCATCTGGAATTGAAATTAAAAGTAAAGCAAATTTGGGAGCATGTACTAAGACCTGCAAACTGGCTAAAGAGCTAGGAGAACTCCCCCCAAGCCCCAGGACCTCAATGGAGAACCCCACGCCCCAGGCAGGCAGCATGGAAAGTAGCTGTCTAGTAGCGGGTGCCCCAGAAATTTGCCCTGATCATGTTTCAACTACATTGTTAATACACACGGGAAAGAAAAGGGGGGGGGGTCCTGGACCCAGGAGTAAAAGTTTCAGATCTTCCCCCTCAAACTTCCTGGTAAAGGTATAGGAAGGAGGCAGGAAGGAGGTGTTGGCCAACCAGAGCCTCTCACCTCCACAGCCTCGTGTCCTGTGTTCTGCAGCCAGATAGGTGACAAGCCCAGCCCAGGCGTAGCCCCAGTCAGGTTCTACTAGGCAAAGGGGAAGTTTTGGAGCGCATCCCCTCAGGGAGGGGAGCGTGCAGCACAGCCAGAGGCAAAGAGCAGAAAGGCATGCATTTTGGGAATTTTGCTCAGGGGGCAAATCCCCCAAGGAGATACAGAGCCACCAAAATGCCAAGATGGAAATGATTTGAGTTGGGGAACCAGATTCCTGAAGGTGAGGCGCCTCGAGAGTGCTCTTGTGAACATGCACACACAGACTGGCTTCCCTCACCTACTCAGTTCATTCTCACATTATGCGCTGCGCAGGGGGCAGCTTGCATGTTCACAGGTGATTCCTGGAGAGGGAAACCTGTCCTGGTGTGCAGTGGTCCACTTTTGAAGACAGGTGAGTGAGGGCCCAGGAGGGAAGTGAATTCAAAGAACAGAACAAATTCTGGGGTCCCTCCTCTCCCCGGTCTGTGGAGGACTATTAGAAGTAGATGCCACAGCCCTCTGATTTGGGAAACTGACCCCCCCCACCCTCCAGGAGGCCTCTCCTCCCCAATCACAGCCCACGGGGATACAGCTTTTGACAGCCGCTTTTACCTGAGCAGGAGCGTGCCTTGCTGCGCTGCTTTGGAGTGAAGCTGGATGCGGGGCCACCCAGGAAGCCTCCAGGGTGGAAGAGTCCGCTGCCATAGTCATGGGCAGTGGCTGGCACATAGGAGGGATAGGTGGGGATGGGGTGGTGCGTGGCAGGCTGGGTGCCCATGGCTGCCAGGCCTGGGCGCAGAGGGCTGCTGCTCTCCATCTTCATGCTGTCCGCTAGGGACACCTGGTACTTGACGATGTCCTTGTCCTCCCCCCTGGCTGCACTGCCCCCAGCCGAGGACGAGGCTGGGGAGGCAGCCCCTGTGTTGTTGGGGTCAGGAGAAACTTCTTTGGGCGGGGTGGGAGGGAAGCCGAAGAGATGGGAGCCCGAGTGGGCTGCAGTCGGCGTGAGGGAAGCCACTGAGCTCCCGCTGCCTGCCCCACTCCCACCGCCGGCCCCTGGGTACACGGAGAGTGGGCCTCCGGGGCCTCCAGCGGCAGAAGGGTGCAGTGGGGTCTTGGAGAAAGGGCTCACGGTCCAGGGGTTGTGGTGGTGCGCTGCTGCGGCCGAGAGGGCCGCTTTGCCCCCATCCAGCCAGGGCAACCCCGGACTGTGCAACAAGTGTGGCCGGCACATCTGGCCCCCTGTCAGGCGAGCTGCAGGCCAGAGGAGAACATACAAACGGAATCACATCCTCAGCCCAGCAAGCAGCCCCACACTCTCACCCGGACCAGGGGTCAACCACCAGCCCCTAAGAAAACCAGAAACACAACTCCCCAACCGACAATAATCGGGAATGTCAGGCAGGAACAGAAAGGCAAGGTGGCCCAGAAGGGACATCCCCCTGCCCCAACCCCCACCTCCGGGAGCCAGGGCCCAGAAGAACCCCCAGGGGCGGACTAGACAGGGCCAGAAGCCCCAGTGGCCCCCGACCCTTTCCAAGAGGCTGCGGCCCACCCTCCTGGTGGATTTCTCAGCCGCCCCGGCTCTGGCGGATCCTACATCCGGGAAGCAGGCCCAGGCCTTCCTCCCCTCGCTTTCGGCCTGGTCCGAGCGAGCGCCTGGCTCCCCGTCCGTCCCCCACAGGCCCGTGGCTCACCGTGTGCGGGGCTGTAGGAGACGCGTGCCCGCGCGTGGGCCGGGTTGGCGTAGTAGGGGTTGCCTTGCGAGTCGAGGTGGTTGAAGAAGACGTCCACCTCGTCGGGAGGCAGCAGCTGCGCGGGCTCCATGTAGTTATGTGCCAAGCCCGGATGGTGCGAGTCGGGGTGCTGCGCATTCAGCACCGCGGGGTGAGCCATCCAGCGCGGCTGCTCTGGCGCCACTTCCATGGCCAGCGGCGGCGGCGGCGGCGGCGGGGGATCGGGGTGGTGGCAGCAGCGGCCCTGAGCGAGGGAAAGGGGGCGTGAGGGGCGCTACCAGGGTCCCAACACCCCCTACGTGGCCCCCGCGAGACGCCCCGCGCGCCGCTGCGCTCTAGCAGAACTCTGCCGCCCGCCAGTCCCGGGTGGGAGGAAAGCGCGAGGTTCAAAACGAAAGGAAGGCGGAGGAAAGAGGTTCGGCTACGCACACTCACATCGTGCCCCTGTTCCCAGAGCCACACACCCTTGCACACGGGATCACCCAAAGGGGCCAGCTGCGACACGTTACCCCAACACACGCCAACGGAGAGGGCTTCCGTCCGACACTCACATCGAACCCCCACCCTCTCGGTACACAAACGCGTAAGCAAACTAAAAGTTGAAGTCAGGCGGCTGGGCACCCACTGGAGCACATGATCACAGCGACAGGCACACACCTACACTTGGCGCCAGCTATACCATCTGACCACCCCACCCCCGCCTCAAACATGCACACGCAGTCCCAAAGGGCCCAGAGCTGCCCGGGGGGCGGGGGGCCTTACTCAGGACCTCTCTACAAGGCACATCAAAGCACTCGCCCTGAATTTGGTCCTGGTCCCGAGGCTCCTAGGAGCCAGGCGCGCCCCGGGCCGCTGCCGGCTCCCGCACCCTAACTTACACACGCAGCGCTTCGGGGGGTGGAGGTGCGGCCCCCAAAGGTGGGCAGCACAGGCCGAAAACCGGAGGGGCAGAGGGCCCAGGGACTGCGAGTCTGGCGGCTGGCCAGGCTCAAGCGCTCGAGGCAGTGGGCAGCGCGCGCCTCGGCCTCGGGCCCGCCGGCCTCCGGCCCCTCGGCATCCTCCGGCCGCCCTGGCGCCAGCTGCCGACTCTTGCACAGACATGAAGCGGGGGCCGCGCACGCCTAAGAAGCCGGCGCCAGCCAATCAGCGGCGCCCGCCGCCCAGCCTCCACCCTCCATTGGCTGCGCCTGCAACTCAGGGTCCGCTGAACTCCCCGACTGACCCGCCGGCCTGCCCCACGCCGCCCGCGCGCCCCTCCTAGGCTGCCTCCCCGCGGCTCCTACTACCAACGCCCCATCCGTGGGACCCTTGCCCAACGGGCCGACCCCGGCACCCCCTTCTCCTGGACACTGGTTCCCCCAATCCCTGGGACCCTCTCTTAGTGACTAAGTACGAACTGGGCCCCTCCTTCTCCACCAGCTGGGGTAGGCGCACCCTCTGGGTGGCCGCTCTCGGGGACCCCAGCCCCGTCCACTCTGAGTTCCCACCTCCTTTATCACTGAAGGTTAATTGGTCGGAGTCCACTACCACCTATCCAGGCTGTGCCTTTCTCCGCTCGGACGCGGACTGGGCAGGGGTGGGGTGGAGAGGTCTCCGAGGGAGGCTTCTGGACAAGCACCACAGGGTCCTTGGAGAACACCTGGGCCCGAGACACGCAACTGCTTCGGCTTGTGCCTGGCGAAATAAAGGTGTCCCAGTCGGTAGTTCCAGAGAGGGAAAGGGAGAGGGACAGGGAGAAGGTAAGGGAGAGGGAGAGGGAGGGTCCCCTCCCCAGGCGTGGCTTTTGCAGACCAACTGGCCAAACCGCCTGGGGCCAAGCTGGGGAGACCTGTCCTGGCGCCAGCGCCCGCTGTAGGGAGAAAGCAGGGGGGGGGGGGGGGGGGCGGGCAGGAGGAGACATTTTTTTCCCCTCTCTGGCATCCCAGAAGCGGTCCCTAGGGAAAAGGGGGTGTTAAAAATTCTGCCCCCTAGATTACCTAGAATCTAGAAACCTACACCCGTCAGCCCCGAGAGCTAGCTGAATGGGCTGTCTGGGACCAGGGCCCAGATCTTGCTTCTCCGCACTGGGGCAAACTGAGGCTGGAAGGGGGCCTGAGGCCGATGAGGGGGCTCTGGCACAAAGAATCTTGGGGGCGAGGGGAGCAAGACAGGTGCGAGGTAAATGGAGGTGAGCGACTGACACCACCACTCCCACCACCCCCCACCCGCGCCCTAGCTCCTGTGCCCCTCGCTGGACCCGTAGCTCCCCGGTGGAAGTCCTGAGGGGTCCCAGATGGGTCAGGGGCAGGGGGAGTGCGGGGGTCCAGGCCACCCCCAGGAGGGTGGAGGAGGGGTGGCACGATTGACAGTCGGTAATTGGGTAACTGGAGGCGGCTTCTCCGGCCAGGCGGCCCCGCCACCGCGACGCCGGGCCCCTGACGTCACCCGATTCGCCAGGAAATGAACTTTTTAATAATCCAAGTAGGGAGGAAAGCCCTCGGCCCCCTCAGCTCGGCTCTGGGGCGTCCGGCCGGCCCGGCTGGGCGGGCGCGCCCCGCTTCCCCCTCCCAGACCAGCTCCCCGCAGGCAGTACCGATGGGGCGCAGGCTGGGACTTGGGGCCTACGCCTGCCGCTGCGTTGGACTGACCGTCCGCCTGTCCGAGAGCCCTCGCACAGGCAGAGACGTGGGCTCGGGGCCCGCAGTGCGTTCGGGGCTAGGCGTGCGAGTGCCTGGGGCCCTCGCGGACCCCGCCTACCCGATTGCCCGCCGAGTCCCTCTCCGGCTCCGCTTTCCCTGGGGCGCTTGGGGCGCAGACCGCTCAGAACTCCGCACTCCCGGAGAGGAAGCGGGCGCGCGCCGGGAAGGCGCGCCGAGGCGGGGGGCTACGGCTGGAGCCCACAGTCACGGGCCTCGGTGGCCAGGGGGGCAGGTGAGACGCCAGGGTCAGGCTCCCGCAGCACGCGTAGTCTGGCGGGGTCCCTCTGTGCCTCCATTCTCCTATCTCTCTGTCTCTCTCTCTCTGTCTCTCTCGCTCGCTCGCTCGTTCTCAAGTACGATTCTCCATCAAGACGAAACGTGAGATTTCCAAGGAACCTCGAGCCCGGTTTGCGTCCGCAGAAGCCTAGCCGGAGAGTCTCAAAGACGCTGGTATCCGGCTAGGCTGGCCCGTTCCGGCTCAACTCCCGGAACCGAGCGTCCGAGCCCGCCTACCCGCCCGCCCCGGTACCGGACGCTGGGCCGCGGATACGGGACGGAGCAGCAGCTCACCGCCTGGTCGGGATCGCACCAAGGTAGTCACGCCGCGTCCGCGGAAAGCAGGTAATTTAACCCCCACCCCCTCTCTCACAATCCAAAGGGGTGGATAAATCCTGCACCCCCACCCCCTTTCGAAGTGGCTCTGGAGTTTCCCGACCGCGAGGTCGGCCTCAAGCTCTTCTTGGGTCATCCCCAAGAGTGGACAGGGCGGGATTCTGGGTGCCAGACCCCAGCGCCTGCGTTGCCGGTGAGCCTGGCTCGACCGGGTGGGGATTGAATTACCAGCTCCGCGGCTCAGAAAATCGCCGCTCTTTGGGGCTTAGCCGGGCAGTTAAGCGATGCTCAAATCCAAGCCCTCGGGAGACGAGCCTGTCTGCTCGCAGCCCAGCATGGAGGGAACGGGGAGAGTGCCCTCCTAGGTCCCCTGAACCCCTGGGAATGCCTGCCTTGGAGCTGCCAAGCCGAATGTAGCCTCTGTCGGACTGTGGGAGCCCCTGCGTTGGACACGGGACAGCTGTGTACTCCTGCAGAAAAGAACCCGCTTGGAAGAAAAAAAGCGGGATGCCGTGTACCTGGACCCTAAGTAGGCCAATAAAAGCGACCTCCCTCTCCTCATTTTGAGAGAGTGTGTATGTGTGAGTGTTCCCGTGCGCGCGCCAGAAAGACCGACAGACGCCAGTCAGACTCCAGGCCCAGACCTTGCTCCTACCATAGTCCTAAACGTCCGGGGAGGTCCAGGGCAGTCCTCGGGATTCTGTTAGGGGACGCGAGTTGTCATTCAGAGCAGATCTATCTCTATCATCTTAAAAACTGGGACTTGGTTGTACCCAGGATGCTTTCGGAAGGAGACACAATCCCTTTTCCAAGTTTCTATTTGTTCTAGAAACCCAGGCCTCAGCCTTTGATCATGCTGAAAAGCTGTCACTTTCTCTGCAAGGGAACACGATTTTCGCTCTGCGCTGAGAAAGAACGGCGACAAAACGGAATTTCTAACTGCTCCGTTCAAAGGACCAGAGACTCCCCAGAGAGCGAGCGTTCTCGCTGCGCTGGGTGCTTCCGCCTGGAGGTTGGGAGAGCAGCAGAACTGGCGCCCGGTTCTCGAGCACCTGGCGGGGCCTCAGGCCACAGTTCGGGTCGGGCTGAGCCGCAGTAGTCTCCCCACTGGGCTGGCCCACCCCACTGAACCCTTTGTTTAAACTTCGTTCATCAGAGATGGCCCCTCTGGGACCATAAGTTTGTCCTCTTTTTGTAACCTAATTCTTATCGCCATTTCCTATGGGCAGCTAACTGGCCAGTGGAGAAAGGGATTCAAAGAAATCCATTTGCTTAGGGATTGTCGTCCATAAATGTATTTAATTCACAGCCCAGCCTCCTCCCAGCCTCCCACTGCCAATGTACCTTGAGCAGTTCTGGAGGGATGCTTCTTAGCCAGATGGGGTTCGGAAGACCCCCTTCAGGGAGAGGCTTTTGGTCAGCTCCGGGCTTCCACCACCCCTCTTGCTCTTTGGAAACCGCCTCCAGCCCTCCCAGTCCCCCCAAATCACATTTCCTCTCTCCTGGCCTTCCTGCCAGCTCGCTTACTTCGTCTGCGTTCTGGGCCTATTGGAATCGAGCAGACTGGGCCCAGCGTCCTAGATAACTCTGCGTCCTGAAACCAAGACGCCTCGGAGGTCCTGTATCGCCTTAGCCAGGTACTAACTTCCCACTCAAAGCCTCCCTTAGGGCCCTACAAAGACACCCCCCCACACCCGCATCTATCGGGTAATTTCTCCTCCTGTGAGAGGAACCACCGTTTACCCAGAGCGCTCGGCGGCCTGGCAACTGGGAAATCCGTTTCGTTAGACGCAATTTGTTTGCAATTTGTCAACCCGGCAGGAAAACACTCTTCAGGAGCCTGGGCAGCCTCGCCTGCCCTAACCTGCTTCTCTAGCCCTGCCTCTTATAAACGAACACA